AAGGAATTAGAAACTAAAATCAAGGGGAAAGCGTGTTTGGCTTATGGAATGAATGAAATTAGATTTCCATAATAACAATTTCATTCCTTATTTGAAAAATTTCCATTTCTTCCATCGTTGAACAAGATTCTAAATTAAGTTCCTTATCTTTTGTTTTAACCGTCCTCCTATTATCTATGCGAGAAATAAAAAAATCATCTCTTTGATTTTCATATCTTTTCTACGATTACAGATTATATATTTCTTCATTCACATTTTCCAAACAATTACATCTATCGATCGGTGCTACTGTGCCATTGTATTTTCTGTGGTTCGTCATTGTTCTTGTTTGTTGCTGTATCATCTCCATTTACAGGTAAGCCTCTCAAATCCTTCTATTTTTCTGCAACTAACTGTGTTTTACTATTGATTTATATAATTTTCGTATGTGCTTTCATCTTTGCTTGATAGACAATAACATAATATATATGTATATCCGTGCTATTGTACTTCATCTATGGTTTCTTTGGATAAAGTATCAAGAATTCTCTATACATGTATATAGACTTGTAAATTTTTTGGGATTAAATTTTTTGTTGGGATGTGAAATCCCTGTTTTTATAAGTATGCACACCAAGTGTTTGTGCTTTTGCCTTTGTTAAATCAATAACTACTTTGCCTTTACCAAGTCTACGTGCAACATGCATACCTTCTGATTTGCCCATTCAGTCCACTCCTGTAAATGGTTCTGAAGCTCATGTACCATTGGAACCAGTTATATAATTGTTTCATCTTCTTTAGCATGTGAGATCCATTTGTCATATGGGTTGGCTGAAAACTAGGATTGGAAGAAACAGTAACATTATTTTGTTTTGGTGGGGTTGAAAGAGATAACTCATGTACATATTTCAACATAGAATCTTTTGGTAGTAGCAATCTTCCTACATTACTAAAAACTAATAGTACCCATAATAACCCTCTTACGTTGTTAGCAGCATCTGAAATTGAGTTATCTCTTTCAAACCCACCAATGTAAATTCACAAAATGATGTTGACAGATTTGTTACTTTCATGTATTTTTAATAGTTAAACTGTTGGTTGATTCCTTTCTTTAACCTATTAACAAATAACAAAAAAAAAACTTTCTCCTCTACACGAGAAGAGAAAAAGAAAATAGACGACGAAAAGAAAAATAGATGAGAGACTTTTGTTTGTATTCAAAACTACTACCTTATATTTTATTCATATCGTTTAAAGGCTATATGTAGCCTTTCATACACGATCACGTGGGAAGAAAAAAAAAGAATAAAATACTACTTTTACGATAAAATACATTAAAATCTCTTGAAGTAGAATGTGTAAGGAATTATTCAAAACCATACAATGCTACAGTTTGTAAGATTGAACTTTGTTTTTTTTTTTTTTTTTTTTTTTTTTTTTTTTTTTTTACTTATTTGGATATCCATAGAGAAAGCTATGATAAATTTTGCATAATATGCCTTACTAAATATGTTAAATACAAATTTACTCCCTTGAAATTTTTTTACCCATAAAGCCTTCTATGAAATTCTTTTTCTAGTCGTTTGATCATGTGTTGTACTAATGGACACCATCTTTTTTGTATAATGTGACAATTAATTAACGACTAAAGTGAATATTTTTTTTTTTGGAGATGAGCAGGAAATGGCACGACTTAGTCTAACTAGAAGCAAACATAGAAAAAATATAAGTCAAATAGTCGTTACATTTTGGAATGAAGTTATGACAAGTGTTACATGGTTTTTTATCACGGTGTGCAAGTTACTACAAATATATAGGAGTGGTAAACCACATATGAAAAACATATCGTCGAATGTGGATCGGCAAGCAATATTGCATAAACACGCTTACAAAAGCGACACTACATGCATATCACACCTTAGGATGACCCACAAATGTTTCACAAAGTTGTGTGAAATGCTTCACACATTAGGTGGGTTAAGAACGACTAGACATATAGATATTGATGAGCAAGTAGCGATATTTCTTCACAGTATTGCACATAATGTGAAGAATCGGGTCATGATAGGTCGTTTCCAGCGTTCTGGAGAAACAATTAGCAAAATTGTTACCCGAGTTTGCAATGCGGTGATAAGGTTGCATCCGCATTTGCTTAAGAAACCCGACCCTGTTACAGAAAACTCTACAGATCAAAGATGGAAGTGGTTCAAGGTATAAGTACTACTTATAAAATTTTCAATTAGTAAACGAATTGCTTGATATGACATATAACCATTTTTTGTATTTCGTGTAGAACTGTCTAGGAGCTTTAGATGGAACACACATAAAGTGCTTAGTTCCACTTAAAGACAAGCCTAAATACAGGACAAGAAAAAATGATATTGCCACAAATGTCTTAGGGGTGTGTTCACAAGATATGCAATTTATCTATGTTTTACCGGGATGGGAGGGCTCAGCTGCGGATGGTAGAGTGCTTCGAGATGCCCTACTTAGGCCACATGGATTGAAGGTCCAGAGAACGGGTATGTATAATAATTGGTATTGTAGATAAGTATTAGTTATTAATTATTAGTTATACTAACTATACTACATATATAGGTTATTATTTGGTAGATGTTGGTTAGACAAATGGTGAAGGTTTCTTAGCCCCGTATAGAGGTCAAAGATATCATTTGAATGATTGGCGTGCTGGACACCAACCAACTACACCTAAAGAATTATTTAACATGAGACATTCATCTGCGAGAAATGTTATAGAAAGATGTTTTGGTATTTTGAAGGCAAGATGGGGAAATTTAAGGGACAACTCATATTATCCAATGGATCTAAAAAATAAGATTATAATGACATGTTGTCTTCTTCATAATTATATAAGGCAGGAAATGACAATTTATCCATTTGAGAACCGATTTGAACTAGACGAGGGAACCGGAGATGTCGGCGGTGGAGACGATGATCATATTACTTCTGTTGGTGTATCAACCGAGTGGACTACATTTAGAAACAACTTAGCGCAAACTATGTTTGATTCTTGGAATACTACACATTGATCCTTTCTCCTTTTGTTATGTTTATCATTTACTATGAATGAATTTGTGCCACGTTTGTTATTTTTAATAACGAACTTTAATTTTATTTGTCCAGTTATATTTGATATATATATGGTTGGGTATTTTTTATTGCATGAATTGTTTTGTCTAATTTTTATGTTTATAACAGTAGGTGTGATGGAAAAAAGTAGAAACTATCGCAACTGGAAAATAACTGAAGATGCCAAGCTCGTGGAAGCATTGGTAAATATGGTGAACATGGGAGGATTTAAAGCCGATAATGGTTTTAAATCTGGATGGATACTTACAACATCTAGAAAACGCATTGAAGGAAAAAAAAATTCCTAACTCTGGTATATTGGGTAAACCCCACATTGAGTCAATGATCAAAACCATGAAAAAAGATTGGCAAGTAGTTTATGATATGGTGAATGATACGAACACAAGTGGTTTTGGTTATGTTAGCTCCACTCATTCTGTAACAGCTGAACCAGCAGTTTGGGATTTTTACATACAGGTACAATATTAAAATTTTTATATATTTGTTACTTTTTAATTATTTATATTATAATTTTATGTGCTAACCTTTTATGATACAAAATAGGTTCATAAAGAGGCAGGAAAATGGAGAAATAATATATTTCCTCTTTACGAGGATTTATGTATCATCTTTGGGAAGGATAGAGCTCAAGGGAATAAAGCCAATGATTTTGCCCAAATGGAAGAAGATGCAAACAATGAAGAACAATATGAACAAATAGAAAATGGTTTTGAAGAATAAACCACAGAAAATGAAGAATCTCCAAACATAGGCTCAAAGAAGAGAAAAATAGTTGATGCTGTTATTAAGGGTATAACTATTGCAGCTAACCTCATTGGAGAAAAACTTGAAAAAGCAGCAAATAACATGAATCAAGCAATACTTGGAGAAACAGAAGTACAAAAAAAAGCTCCGATGGTGATTCCTGAAATTTCAAAAATGCAATCATTGAGTGCCTTGGATAGGTTCAAAGCAAGTAGGAAAATAATGCGTAATCCGGAAACCGTGTTAAGTTTTTGGAATTTTTGGAAGGAGGAGATCGGGAGGATTTTGTGAGGTTCACGTTGGAAGAGTGATATGATTATGAACTAGGTATCTAGACATTATTTTAAGTAGTGCTTGGTTAACTTTTTTTTTTTTTTTTTTTTTTTTTTTTTTTTTTTTAATTTTAGATTGGAAATAATGAATCACATTTGTTGCTTTATATTATTTTATATAATCGTTTTATTTATATTTTAAAAATATTTTTATGATTTTTATGTGTTCGATGAAATACATGTTAGTTATTTTTTAATTTATATTTTATAGAAGAGTTCAATAAAAAAATGTTTTAATTGTATAAAACTTTGCTATTTTTATTAAAAATATGAATAAGGTACCAAAAATCACTACAAATGGTATTTTTGCCAAATTACAAAAATAATTTTCCAATTCTTTTGGAAAATCAACAAACCAAACACAAAACAGATTCGATTCCATGTCAACCAAAAGTTTCTAGTACAATTAAATTCCAATTCCCCGAGAGTCCAATTCCTTTGACGGATTCCATTATTAATGTCAAAAACATTCTGCGAAACAAACAGGTTAATGTTGTTGTTTCGTGGGAACTTTTATTTATTAAAAACATGAATAATTTTAATTTTGCTCGGTAATGATCGGTAAGTTTAGTTACATTTACGATGGTTTGTATTTGTCACATTTTATAAGTAATGTCGCAAAATTAGGGTTTTTATTTGTTTCGGGTTATTTTTCCTCATTTTCGTAGGGAAAAAAAGGAGTTTTGCAGTGGTGCAAGTTATTTAGTAATATCACATTCTCTTTTTATAAACATGAGGTTACAGTTTTTACAAATTTTATGACATCCTCTACTATTGTCCTTAATTCCGAAGTATTTACTAAATAAGTTTTGAATCTGTATTTTTCTACTGGGGTCATGAGTTCAGGGTCTGAAACTTGCTCGAAAATCTCTCAAGCTGCGACCACAACAACGTTCCCAGTGATGATCTTGGTTCATTCACACCGTTACTACTTGATGATCCCCGAGACGACCAATTCGAAGAAGTTCCATTCCCTACGATAACCATGCCTCCAAACCTCTTAATTTCCTTCTTCACTGCCTCCACCATGCCCGGATCCACCTCATGTCCATGAGCATCTGTAACATGAAACGATCCAATTGCCTTCTCTCCACGTGTTCCAATCTCAGCCATTGCAATCGACAGCCCGTTTTCACGAAACACTCTTGTCACATCCGACAGCAGCCCTGACCTGTTTCGACTCCTCACATCTAACCTCAACCCCTGCACTCATATGATAGAGCTCATGTTAGGTTCTCTTTCATCAAAACGTAATCAGGAGCTCAAAAGTAAACACCTACATGCGATGCTCTTCGTTCTACAGCTGCCATTATGCATCGGGTGATTGCTTCTCGTTGTATCTCTGAGTTTAACGTGCGCCCATCTTTCTCCCTTATGTAATACTCCTGTCGTTTCAATATGAAGAACATTAGAAAAGGGTTTAATTAATAGACAGCTATAACGCGTTTGCACTTGAAAAACGTAAATAATATATACCTGAAAAGCAACGGAGCCTTTAGAGCTAACTGTTGCATGGAAAACCACATATTGCATGTCAGTAAGCGTGCAAACTGTGTCGAACAGTAACTTTGGTCTGTCAGGGCTTGTGACATTAAGAACTGAATACCCTTTTTCTCGACAGTTCTCCACTGTCACCACTGTATCGTAGCGTTTGATAAGTGGACCATATGTACTCTCTTCGTAGTCTTTATCGGCCATCATCAGCTGGTGGAGCCGCCTCTCGGTGTGGGTTTGTCCGGTGACCGGAGTAGTCAACCTGACACTCCGGCGTTCGCTGTTGTTGTGGTGAGCGTTGACCACGGTGGAGAGATGAGATTGGACTCTGTTCACCCTGTGAGGGTCTATAATGGGTCCAGGGTTTGAGTCGTCTTCTACATGGATAATGCATGCAGCACGGGTGTTGTGGGTCCATGCCACTGCTGCAGACACGTGGCATCTTAGTTCGGCTAGAACTGCCGATATCTCCGACAATAGGCCCGGCTTGTCCACCGTTGTCATCTCAAGTGTCGTATGCTCCATCGGCAAGTTCCTTGGTGTGATTTCTTTACCTAAACTTGTTGTTTTTACTTGTGTCTTCTCTCTCCTACTTGCACATATTGACTACAGAAAATTAATAAATGTCACTTTCATACTCACTATCATGAAAAAGAAAAGGTTTATAACACATGCATGTGAAAGAACATCCTTGTCATTCAAAGGCGGACTAATTAAGGATCTTTTAGTGTGAGATCAAAAAAGAATTTCTAAGTATTTGTCATTGTTGCTCTCTATTTATATACTAAATTGAATAAACTTGAGACGTTTGTCTATTATGTTTAAATTGACTAAATAACTAGAAACATATATATTTTACTTCTTTCTGTCGAGACAAGTTATGCTATTTATAAGATGAATTGAGGAAATTTGTAACATCAATATATGTTTTTGTTGATTAAATTAGAAAATTATATGTATTATTTCTTTCTGTCGAGACAAGTTATGCTATTTATAAGATGAATTGAGGAAATTTGTAACATCTATATATGTTTTTGTTGATTAAATTAGAAAATTGTATGTATTACTTCTTTCTGTCGAGACAAGTTATGCTATTTATAAGATGAATTGAGGAAATTTGTAACATCTATATATGTTTTTGTTGATTAAATTAGAAAATTATATGTTTTACTTCTTTCTGTTGAGACAAGTTACAAAAGAAGATGTCAAAATATATATTTCTAACTAGTGTTGTTCTTGCTCTTAGATTATTTGTTATTTCCTCTTTGTAATGTTTTTGACTTTTCTTAACATCTTGTAACTTTTCTATAAATTTTATGTCAGTTCCAAAAAAATTGTTGGGTTGCCCTTATTGTGGTCCACACGATCGACCAATAGGGAGACTCTATAGATAAGTAATAATTTGAGGTTTATTTATGGGAGATGATTTGTACACAACAATTGTTCTCCATACACAACAATTGGTGTTTTAAAATATTGTACTGTACTACTATATAATGCATAAATTGTTGTGTATGACAAAAAACTGTTGTGTACGAATCACTTCTCTTTATTTATATAAAAATAATAGATTAGTTTAGGGTGTATCTAATCACGTTAACTAATAAATACCTGTTGTATGTGACGTATAAGGTTTTTGTCTGTAATCTTGTTGCCAGATTGATCGGTTACGTGAAACACTACACAGGAAATACAAGTTTTTATTCATATAAACATAAGAGCATTTACAATAATTGAGTGAATTGAATGAGATGAAATGTCTCATTTATATTCAAAATTGAACTCTACTATTTTAGGATGTTATGTTAGCATTCAATGAATATTGAGTTTAATAGTCATTAAATTCGAAAAAAATAACCTTTTAATTATTAAAAATATGTTTTATTGAACTTTATGGAGTTAAATCCATTATGATTAAATTTTGATGAAGTTGTATGAAGACTAAAATAATATGTGATTATTAATTAAACTCTAATAAATTCAATACATTATGACCCACCCATAGGGGTGCAAGTAAAAGGGCGACTAACCATCCATGAACCAACGTCCATCAGAACAAATGTATGATTTGGAGATGATAAGGTCAAGATCCGTTAGCTCTTGCACCATCTCCAACAATACACCATGCTTGTTCGCACTATCAACCTACATCATTCAAACAAACCATTAATCCGAATTCATATGCACACAACTTATTTTTTATCATTTACACAATTACACTTCAATTATGATTAGATTATATCATTGTCAAACAATATTTAAAGTATTTAAATGATACAATACGTGTATTAGTTTTCATTGTTATAAAATGAAAGATGATGTAAAAAGCAAAAGTATTTTTTCTAAAGAAATGACAATAAAATAAAGTTCTTTAAAAACCATTGGGTATGTGATCATTGTCGACTTTTGTAGCTTGAGTGGCCTATTTCCCACTTAGCTAGATGGGTGTGTTCTTGTTCTGTATTGGACTCTTTCTCTCTCTCCCTCTATATATAAATAGAAGTATAATTTTATACTTACAGCCCAATCCAAAGCTACCACCAAATTCAATATATGATTACTTAATAAATCAATAAAGTTAAGGAAATTACTTCTTAATCTTCCTATGTCTTTTTCGTATCTTTGATGGATCTAAACCCTCCCTATAAACGCTTAAAAAAATTGTAGAAAAGGGTTAAATCTTTAAAATAACCTACTTTTCTAAATACCCAACTTATGTAGTCATCCTATAATTAATTCAACTTGCATACGTCAATTCATCACACGATTAGAGTCGATAGTTAGTTAAGAAGCTTTTGCCGATTCTTGATTCATTTGAATTAGTTAACATTTCATGTATGCATGCATTATCTAAATTAAAGCGATTGGTTTGTAACTATATAAAATATCACAAGAGATCTATACCTGAATTCAAGAATCAAGAAAACTAATAGCATAAATAGGTACAATGAGGACATGAGTTACCTTCACAAGGGTGCAATCTTGACATGAATCATTGTCGATGCAAACCCTGCAACAACCACAGATTTATTTGAGATTTTTATGTAGAAATATGACAAAGTACGAAAAACAAGTATAAAATAAAATTGAAACCTTGGAGGGTGTATTCTATCAACGAGCGATTCGAGCTCAGGATCAACGTAAACTCCGTACCCCATCTCCATATCTTGGTAAGCAGCTTTGCTCTCGAGATTTTTGCTTATAAGACTCAGTTCAACAACAAAAACACGCACACAAACAACTAAGAATTTCGAAGTTATATGTACAAATCGATGTATCTTTTCAACTCTTTAATTACATGTGGTGTTTCGTATGAACTCTCAAGTCTCATCTCAAATGGTTTCTTGAACTCCAAGAAAACCCTTTCTAACAGAATTAGATCGAGGGGTCGAATTCAAATACTATATAGCTTACCAAAAGTTTCGACTTTCAAACAACTTTCTCTGATTTCTTTTAGAAATCAACGAGAGAAATTTTATAGCAAAAAATGGAGATGAAGTACCTGTGGCCGGGGGATTATTGGAGTTCACATGGCGTATATGAGGTACAAGTGTTTGAAAACTAAGGGATTGTGGGAAGCCCACCAACTATATAAGCTGTGTGCACCCAACGAAGTGTCCATAACTTGCTACATTAGTTGTTGTGCTTATCTGGAATCTAGATAAAGGGTTAAGTTATAAGATTTATTTAAAATTTTGAGATAGATTTTATATTTGTTTATTCCGAACGACTAAAAGTTTTATATTATAAGCGTAATTTTTTGAAATTTTCAAAACGAATAATCAAATGTTTATCACATGAAATTACGATTTATTAACTAATATGAAAAGCATTTGGGTGTGAAATAAATCATCACTTAAATCTTAATTATCTATATTTTTAAATATGTAGTTTAGTATCGTTACCGAATCTAATAAATACTATCGTTTTCTTTCATCATTACTTTTTTATCAGAATCTTTGGAGATTTCTTCTTTTTAAGAAACGTGATGTCATTTATTTTAAACAGAGTTGAATCTTTTCTTTATTCATGTTGAGTGGTGATCATACGTGTGTCTTTACTGGTATGACGTGGATATATGTGTCTTCATACAACATTGGCGGCGCCTTTACCAGCTGCTAACACGTGTGTTCGTTTGGATGAGATTTTGTGCAGAAATCTGGGGTTTTCTTTGTATTTCCTTTGAAGTTCGAGGGCTACATAAAAAATTCTTCCTGCTCAGTGGGCTTTATCTTTGACTTTAATTGAATAACCTAAAACATAACAAGTAATTTTTTTTACAATATTTTTCAGGATACGTAGACGGTAGACCTTTACATTTGATTTGGGTTTTTGTTTATCACAAATATATATCATGATCGAGCTCCAATGCCCAAGTACCAAGCTTTTGACATCTACGTCACCAGTAGGACAGATCAGGAGAGCATTGTGCCAATAAACATTATGCAGGTTGAGGAATACAATAACTCATGTTGCTCCCCATGGAAGCAGAAGGCATATAAACCGTGCATCAAATGATAGAGTTTAATCATTTATGACATCGTAACATTATAAATTATAAGTTTTGGTCTTATTTGGTTACTAAATTATAAACTATAAGTTTTGCTCTATATTGGTTGTTAAATGTGACTTGAACATTTGGAGCATTTCGATGACATGTTTGGATGCGATGACACACTTGGATGTAATGGCACAGTTGGATACGGTAACACAGTTGGATATGATGGCGATGTTGGATATGGTGACCCAGTTGGATACGGTAACACAGTTGGATATGGTAACACAGTTAGATATGATGGGACTGTCGGATACGGTGACACAGTTGGATACAATGGCACAGTTGGATGCGGTGACACAGTTGGATACGATGGCACAGTTGGACTCAATGTCACACTAATGTGTCGTCATGGCACCTCGACGATGTGCCAAGAGTGATAGAATGTGTCACTAAGGGACAAGGTGCGCCATGCAATTGCAGCTGATGTGCTGGTGGATTGTTGATGCCAATGCGATGTAATTCAAGGATGAAAGTTCCAAAAACAGCTGCATGACGGATTGTGATTGGTTGACACATGTAACAATTGGTTATTTTAGGTCAAAAGTTCGTCGACCAAACCACCGCGAACCCGGTTGTATTAAAACCTAATGTATGTAATCCTGTATTAATAAAGTATATTAAATATATAATGCTCATAATTACTTTCAGAATGTCTCAAGTTGCTGAACAAACTGTCTATCGTTAAAGATCGAGATAAAAATCTCAAAATTTGACAATAATTGTGACACTAAAAATATATTTTTGCATCGAGTATACCTAGGACTAATCTATGATCAAATTATACAGTTTATACTCTCAGGACTTCGTGGATATAAAGAACGTAAGAAACGGAGGTCACATGCAGAAAATACGTCCATTCTAAGAAACCAAATCAATATAATACTGATTTTCATAATAAGCGAAAACCGAATTGATCCGTTGAGGTACGTGCACATCTCATATGGAAATTTCAAGAACATTATTGAATTCAGACATGGGTCTAATACTTTATTTTATAATCATAATATTTTTAACCCGTAAATTTATCAAAGCCGCGAAAACTGTGGAATCGGGATGAAATAACCGCGAAACTTTAAATGACTTTTCCCGGAGTTCTACATATCGGATTTAGGATTCGTCTGAGTTTTGGAATCCTTATACCCGAGACTATCATGTTCCACCTTCGGAAAAATTATTAGATGTCGGGAATTGGGCACACATATAGAGAAAGCTATTTTAAGACATTTTTGATGTCACAAGTGTGACATCACCTTGTTGTACCTTTAAAACATGCTTAATAGACTTAAATGGCCAACTACTCATCCCACACACTCATTCCTTCATCTTATCCCATGTTCTCAACCCTTTCCCTCACAAACACTCACATGGTACACACATGATTGGAGCTAGCTCTTGCTTCCATTTTTCACTCAAAGTATTATCATATTTAGCTTTAAAAGTCCAGCCATCATCCAAAGAGCTTCATACACTCTTTCATCCCATCCCTCACATACTACCCTCCTCTCTTTCTCAAACAATCTATCTTATACAATAAATAGAGCAAGCTAGTTACTTGAAAGATGTCACGCCCGCAGATTCGGGCTAGTCAATTTAGATACGATAAGCGTCAAAAATGAATTTTTGATAGAGGATTATTTAGAATAAATAATCTTAACTAAGTTGTAGTATATGTCACAAGGTTTTCATACATATAAAGAACACTTAAATCCGAGTTATAACGAAGAAGTTATGACCTGTCGAAGTTTCGCTACAAAACCGGCACGACACCGGGAATCGTAAAAAGTGAGTTTATGATAAACTACTTTTAGCATTAGGGTTCTAAATGAAAGTTTTAGAGTATGTCTCCACCTACGCGTGGATATAAAGAACGTCAAAAACGAAGCTCGTATGCAAAAGTTATGACCTTCCGAAGTTGTAGCTGTCTGAGAGCATGACACGTGTCAGAAACCCTAATCTGACTGGGCTCACGACGTGAGCACTAATTCTCACGACGTGAGGAGTCAAAACGCTAATTTTCAAGACTAGAATGCAGATGGCAAGTCTACGGAACGGGCTCACGACGTGAGCATCAATTCTCACGACGTGAGGAGTCAAACGGACACTATGCAAGCCTAGAACGCAGGTGGCGAAGCTACGAGGTGATCAGGCATGGCTCACGACGTGAGCAATGAATTCTCACGACGTGAGGGGCCAAAAATCACCCTATAAATAGCAAGTTCATCCCTTGCTGTTCTTACAAAAATTCCTTTCTCTCTCTCTCTCTCTCTCTCTCTCTCTCTCTCGTTTGTTGAAGCCGTTCCGCGTCCCGAGCCCGATGATAACGAACCGCTGACCGTTTCTAGTTAGATTCTATCAACTCACGATACTAAGATGAGTGCATAGTTACTTTCATCTTACACATAGATATGAAGTATTTTATATAAAATTACGTGCTATGTGTGTATATTATCTGAATACTTGTTGTGTATGCTGGATGATCGATTTTAGATATGTTTTAAATGATTTAAACTGTATATGTATTTTATATCTGCAAATATGTTGGGGTAAAACATGGGTAGATAAAATAGTTGGTGTGTGATGAAAAATGAGATGGAAGATGAGATGAAAGGCGATATAGATCATGAGATGGGGGTGAGAGGTGAAAAGTGAGAAAAGCCTTTACCCAAACGTTGGCCCCGTCATCTAGCAGAGTATGGATGACAACCACAGACTATTCTAGACAGTCCAGTGGAACACTAGCAGGCTCACAACCTGTAGGTGTTGTGAACGACGTGTTCACCCGGTGTACTCTAAAAACCCATTGATATGTATTTCGGGTGGATTCCCGAAAATAATATTGTTGATAAATGAGAGCTATGGACTTAGCACCCGTTGGATAAACCCTGGCGACGATGTGACTTCGTGCCTATTCCTTATGTTGTATAAACCCTGGCGACGATGTGACTTCGTGCCTATTCCTTAAGTGTTATAAACCCTGGTGATGATGTGACTTCGTGCCTAATCCTTAGGAATGAATGAACGAGAAATAGTTGATTCTTAGGGTAGATCCTTAAGATTAAAGAAGATAATGGGGATGGGTAATTGGGTTGATTGTTTGATGATTAAACATAATAATTATATTATTGTGGGTTGAAAACCCTATGTGCTCACCAGGTTTCCCAACCTGACCCACTCAAGCTTATTTGTATCACAGGTGTCGATATGAAGTTACATTACACTGAGAGATTAAAGAGATGTAGATCACTTGTGTAAATGAATGTAAGTTCTTTTTATGTTTGTGTTTCTGTATTGACAATGACATCCCAAATATTTTAAAACGAATAAAATACATTTCTTCGGAAATGCTTTGATAAAGTATTTATCATGTTTTCTGGGAACAAATTCCGCAACATTTTTAATAAAAAAAGTACTCTGATTTTTATAAAGCATAAACAAAATTGGTCTTTTTTTGCCGTGAAAATGGGGATGTCACAGTTGGTATCAGAGCATTAGTTTAAGCGAACTAGGAATTTGTAGGAAATTTCTAGACTTAAACTTAGAATGCTAAGCGATGATTGTGAGATGAGTGTCTACTACACTTTAGACACGAGCACTAGCTTACTTTAG